TGGGCATATTTGTAGAAATATTTGGTATTCTCGCGAATGGCAGCCACCGCTCGTGCCTCCGCAACTTGTTGTTCAACTTCGTGTGAGTCCTGCAACTGTCGTTTAGCGTCCTCAATTTTCCATTTTCGATGTTTCAGCCTCCGCCTATCCATATTACTGGAGGCGGCCGCTATCTGGCCGCCTTTTTTTCTCCGCCTCTCCATATTCCGTGGCAGAACGCACACGTCTGTCCTCTGTTACGGCTCAAGCTCACTCATCCTCTATTCATCCTCTATTCTAATACTAAACTCAATACTTAATTCTATGAAGACAGGCTACCAATAATTTACAAATTCTTTGATTCGTGTTGAGAGGAGGGCATAGGTTTAGAAAATTAGTTAATAAAATAACTTGATAATGAAAAAGGCTAACTTTCAACTATCGAATGATCGTCCACTACAATGTTACTTTGTACGGATATATGGTAGCAACTACTCTGGAATTATACATCCAAGTTCTGCATCGACGCACATCAGCATAAATAAATAAGCCTTGCGTGTGCGTTGATTCTAGCGAAAGAATACATGGTAGAGATGGAACAGCACATATGCCTTCTGAAATAAATTTATGAATTAACTAATAAATTTTGAACTATACTTACAAAAAAACAATCATATTAAAATACATACATAACATACAATCAGAATACATAAACACATACAGGCACATAAAATGCAAATAAAACGTATTTAAAGTAAATAATAGTAAGCAGTTTCTACCTCATAACAGTGCATAGTACTCAGGGTAGTAGTGTTGCTCATCATACTTGACGAATATAGTGGGTCGAGCCAGATTGTCAACCGTGGTGTCAGCACGACGGTTGGATCTGTAAAAATCAGTCTTTTATTTTAGGCAAACATCAGTAGAGTATCCTGCATAACATCACCACACACATGATTTGTGGTGCTATGAGTACATATCAGTAGAGTATCTTCACAACATCACCACACACATGATTTGTGGGGCTATGAGTACATATCAATAGAGTATCCTGCATAACATCACCACACACATGATTTGTGGGGCTATGAGTACATATCAATAGAGTATCTTCACATCATCACACACATGAAACTGAACNGCACAAGTTTAGAGTGTCTGCTGTAGCAATAGGAAACTATTGATTTACCAGCAAGTAGCAACACGGTAAATTGTAATAGAATTTTGTCAATTATCAGACTTATAAAATGTGATCGTGCTAAATGGTGCTTATGGGATAAAAATGTCAATTGCCCTCTGTGCTATAATTTACAATCAAATGTTGATATTCATATCTCAGAGTTTTATGATCATTCACTTTAACAATATCTTGATGCCTTTTTGATTCAAAATTATATTGAGGTTGGCAAGCCAACCATTTTTCTAGTTCTCTGTAAACAAATTTATTTCTTTCCATGACAGTCGCAACTCCACCTCACGAAATTTTCTAAATTCTTTGTAACCTTGTAAAAAATTCTTCTAATTTTGAATGGTAATAATGCATTTATTTGCCCTTATTGCAAGAAATATCGGTTAATGATCACAACAACAAGTGCATTGCTATTTGGACGACGTCTCGCTCATTTATCCAAATACACCCTAGTCAGGCACCGCAAATGCCGCTGACACCACACATCCTGCTTTCGTCCAAGCGCACAGCGCACTGGTCGAGAGGAGCTTGCTGGAGCTATAGAAAAAGCAAATCCAAAGCCTCTGATTGGTCAGTTAGTTGGATGGTTTTGATAATACGCTTTTAGCTAAGTCTTACGTACGAAATTTTGATAATGCCAAAATTAGGGTGTACTTACGTAACACATAACTTTTTTGTCGCAAGTACAAAAAGTTACGAACTTTTGATAATTCGGCCCCAGGGGTCGTTGCCGCCTAAGTACACTTAACGGCTTAAGTATACGTAGTGGAACAAGTACATGTAGCGGCCTAAGTTCACGTAGCGGCTCGAGTACACGTAGCGGCCTAAGTACACAATGCAGTCTAAGTACACGTAGCGGCCTAAGTACACGTAACAGTCTAGGTACACGTATATATTACCTTATGAGATCTGCAATCGGAAATATTATGAGGGAAGACAATACAACTTGTCAAATTGAGGGAAGACAAAAATAAATTAATCAATACAACTTCTCAAATTTGTCTGGCATCTTATTATAATTATATTATAAGATTAGAAAATCTGCAATTGAGACCAATATTCATGAGACGCGACGAACATTGATGGAATGCTAGACACTGAGACCTACACTGAATAGGCAACGAATAGGGATACGAATGAATAGCCTTAAAATCAAGGGAAAACTCAAGTTAAATAATACAAGTAATTTTCATAAATCATTGTTTAGTTTTGCCCATCATAAAATTGTGAATTTGTAACGACGAATGCAAAGCGAACGAATTTCAACAATAATTTGCACCAACCTTGAAGAAGAAACCTCAGCGACCGTGTTAGACAATGGCTCGATAACATGTGAGATCTTAAGAGCTGCAGTAGCTGATACGGAGGAGATAAGGTACTGGTGCATAGGCAAAAGCGATCGGTGAAAAAAAATCATGGCAGAGTGAGTGATAGTGCGCTATATCTTATGTCATATATTATATAGTTGTCAAAGTTCCCGTTTGTGTGTTTTTTTATGCTTTGCGTTTGGGATTTCTTCACGCAGACCCTGAATAAGGTATGTGTGGGCGTGCATCCACAATGAAAGGGATCTAAATCTTCAAATAGCGGTAATGTAACCTTACAAGGCAATAATATATTTTAGACTTTGTTTATTCGAAATTGTATATTTTCATGAAAGTTAGAGTTTACTAAGGGAAATTGTTGTGCGGAGGAAAGCCTTGAAGCACATACCAAGAAAGAAGCTCCAACCTATAGTGTTAGCGTACGGAAGTAGTTCATTTATTATAATCAACACGTTTCATTATTTCAAAGCATTAGTGTTACATGTTTTAATTACGTGTGTTCTTATTACGTCTTATGAGGGTTCTGTGTTAAACGTGGTTTTAATGAGTATTTATTAAACTAACAGGCCTCAGTTTTATGATAATTATGAACAAGGGCATATATACGTAGATTTGGGTTTTACGGAATTCTGAAATTACATCGATTATCGATCCTGGGCGATTAACCATAAATTACTTCAGAAATTCGACCATGATGATTTTCAATGTTGACTTCCAAAAAAATCGGCAACATGGTTTTATTTCACTAGGCCGCATAGCCACTAAAACACTGTTTCGTCTGGTCTTTCAATGTTTTTTTCGACCAGTTTAAGAATTTATACAAGATGAGCTAATGCAAATAATAAATATATACCTGTATTTACGATCCACAAAACCAATTAATTGTTAATACAACATCAATTTAAATGCATTATGAAGAAACAATTTTTACTTGCGAGGAATGTGGTAGGCTTCAGATTTACTAAGTAATAAAAATACAAATAAGGACCTAAGATACACGGACAGTTATACACTTGGCAGCGCAAGATGACTCTCAGAATATTTCATGCATCATATTGTCAAAAAGTGACTCACTTTCTTATCCACAGCTCAAACATGGAGCGGATGTAGCACTGATACGCCCTTTACCCGGTGCCAAACTGGGTCAGGATGACCCACACAAGTGCAAAAAGCGAATAGCTATTTGGACAAAGTCTCATTCATTTCACTGAGTGAATTCTCATGTGCCATGTACTCCTCATATCACGAGATTAATAAGAAAATAAACAATGTGATTGGAAATGAGTTTTGCTCGATAGTCATGAAAATTTATGACGAAATTGAAGATTTTGGGTTTAATTGTTCGATAGTCAATTGCTTTAATTCTGTCAGGCTGGTTGCCGTAGTGGCTTACTTTAGGCGCGTTGTAAGTTTTCGCATGAATAGGTTACGGCAAAAATCGTACAGAAAGGTTGCAAGGAAACACTGGTACATTTTATATTAAATTGAGAAATTTAAGTTCAAACCTTACGTTGACAAATATCTTTAGTACATGAAAAAGGTAATTTGAACACAATCAAAGTTCAAAATCCATCGGTTAACATCGCTAAAATCTTCTATTTTTACCAGAAATGTTGAACCGTAGAACACTCCCGTAGAATGGTACGACTCCCGCAACGATCGTACCTCACGCACGTTCGCAGCCTTGCAGCCGTATTCCCAGTAGCCGTACGGCCGTACCGCAGTCGTAGCCACGCGTCCCCTTTCAAAGTTGCTCTTTCTTCACAGCCGTACTTCCCGCGCTTTCATTGATGTCTCACGGCCGGTCTAACCGTACAATTTATGATGACCGAGCTTCTGAATAGTGGCATTCAACGGGGTTACTCCATCATCGACGGGGTTACTTCAAGCTCATTGCCGTTCTTCTGCTGTTGGTGATCGTGATCGTGTCGCTTCTGATGATGCCTGACCGTATCGCAATGACCCTACCGATGAGAATTGTTGCTCAGTGCTCGAAAACTTGAATCTTCTGAGTGCTGGCGTTATAATCGTTGGCCGTCTCGCGGTCTCTCGCGTTGCCTCACGGCTGAGTCACAACCGTGAGGCCCGAGCTCCAGCTATTTGAACAACGACGCCTGCAATCATGCTTCTCTATACCCAATCAAGTTCCCAAATCGCATTTAAAGTGTTGCAAAACAAGCATATATTGTGATGGTTTTCTGTTAAGACAATACCAGTCCATGTCCTACTGCAAATTAGGCAAAAAGTGTGATATATAATGTTATTTTATATATATTATCAAGCTTCAGAAACTGAGAGGCACCTTTATATATTAACCTATGGACTTTATTCATTTAAGGTGCTCTACCAGTTGGCAAAAATTTAAAGTGTGAGACCTTGACCACACTACTCTGGACCACGCTACCCTGCATTCTCATGCTATCACCACGTTATCTTGAAGATTTTTAATGATGTTATATCAGTTGGACTCGAGCTGTTGTCCCAGTTGTTTCGTGCGTTTAGTGCTGTTGTCCCGGTTGTTTCGTGCTTTTGGTGCTGTTGTCCCGGTTGTTTCGTGCGTTATTGCTGTTGTCCCGGTTGTTTCGTGCTTTTGGCGCTGTTGTCCCGTTTGTTTCGTGCGTTTAGTGCTGTTTTTCCGGTTGTTTCGTGCTTTTAGTGCTGTTGTTTCGGTGGTTTCGCGCAATCATGTCGTCTCCTCTGGAGTCTGATGGTGAGCGTATATTTCTGTTTTTAGAATCCACTTGTACTCTATTAATGATGTTGTTTCGGTTGTCTGGTAAGATTATAATTCTGTTTTATCCATTACTTGTTATGTTCTTTAAGCTGTTGTATTGGTTATTTTGCATGTTCTTTAAGCTGTTATATCGGTTCTTTTGCACGTTCTTCATAGCGTCACCTCAAAGGAACGGAAACCGCGATGAATTTTCCAGCGTCGAATACGAGTGGTTTTTCTGCGATGAAAACAACCAGTGGATCAAGTACGGCCAAATTAGTTCTGGAAATGATACGAATTACGTCCCTTCCCAAGGTTCAGATGACATCGAAAAGCATTACCAGACTCAGCCTCGCCAGGTGATGACAATCAAGAGCCGGCAGCATACCTACGAATTGAACTTTATGACCATGACGCAAACCAACTTAGGTACCAAAGTTCAGCGACCCATATGTCGTATAGTCAAAAATGCTGGCAGTAACAACGGCAGTGGTGCGGTATCCATGCACGTGGCGTACGAATGGTACTTCAAAGAGGACGATGAATCGTGGGTTAAGTTTGACTCCAAAGGTAATACTGTCAACACAGGTGCCATTGAGAGACAATTCCGGTCTGACCCAAAAACCAAATTCAAGTTTACTGCCGGAATTCAGTCGTACGTTTTAAACTTCATCAAAATGACCCAAACCAACACCTCGACAGGCAAAGTACGAGAGGTACGTCGGCCTAATCAACCGGTATCCCTGACTGCATCTAGTCCTTCGATTGCTCAAATTTCCTCTGGACAAAAGTGTTCTACGATGTCCCTACCAGCAAACCATGCTGAATACACCAAAGTTTTAAAGCTGCTTAAGACCACCTTACCTAAATGTAACCCCATCAGCATAGTTAAAATCAACAATCCGTACCTAGAAACAGCGTTTAAAAACAGGAAGATTCAACTACAAAATCAATATCCAAGTGTTAAATATAAGGAGGAATACCTCTTCCATGGTACCAAGCCTGCTAACGTCAAAGCCATTCTTGAAGATAACATCGACTGGAGACTTCATGGATCCTGCACAGGACATATATATGGAAGAGGAGCCTATTTCTCAAACGAGTACGTTATTTAGGCACGTAGCCTCATTGATATATTTGTAAATATCTGAACCATTTCTATACGCAATCTTCGAATCGTGATATATCATTCATTATGAATTCGTTTTATGAGGTCACTCTTCAGTTTCCGTTTGCGGTCAATATTTTGATCTGACCCAAGCTTTCTTCTTAAATATTTATCACAATTTTAAAATGTCTATTAAAAAACCTGAGCATACCAAAAACTTGGACTTTACAAAAGCCCGAACCTGAGTAGGTGACCGGATACAGAACTGTGTGATTATCAGCGAGCATGCTCATTGCTCAAGTATCGGCTGAAGACCTACGGTGCTGCTATCTTCAACCTGTCTGTCAATGGTCTGATTACGTGTTCCAACGTAGTCTGTGGCTCTTAGGCTGAGTGTAGTTGTAGTCGCAGCCTAAGCTCTTCCAGTTTAGGCTTCGGCTTCCTACTCTTACGCTGAGGCTAGACATTGGCTAATGAACTAATGGATGAACCAACTAACGCTTGGGACTAACAATTCTTCTTATTTTAGCAATTTATCTACACACTCTTTAAATGATCCCGCAATAGAACTTAAAGGAGAACTATAACTATAGGCCGGTTGTAGTTCCTACGTTATTAATCGAGTCTCATTATTATTTTCTACATTTTTCAATGCAGCGCCAAAATGTCTCACTTCTACGGAAACGCCATCTTCGTTTGCAAGGTCCTGGTGGGTCTCACCGTCGTCGGCAACTCCAACACAGTCAAACCTGCGAAAGACAAGTACGTCCTTCGGCATAAAAGGTGCTTATACACGGGGCGACTAGTCGCGCCGATTAGTTGAGTCGACTACAGTTTTACAGGTTAAGAGCCTATACACGAGGAGAGTGTTTTCAGTACAGTCCGCCAGCGCTAGTGCGACGTTGGGAGTTGTCGAGTAAGGTGTGTGCATGGTGGAAAGCTGGAAGCCAGCGAGAGCTCCGAAGTTGTGTGTACTACAGCGGCTAAGATACAAGCAAGAGAGAGAACGACGCAGCGATGCACACAAGGAAGGCCAAGGCGCTACTAGGCACACTCGAATGGCTGAAAGCAACTTGAGGTGCTCTGGGTGCAATGCAACAGCTAGTTCCCTCTGATGACGTCAATCATCACAAATATTAGTTGCGTCGACTAGTCGACTCACCTAATCGACGCAACTAATCGCCGCCCCGTGTATAAGCAGCTAAAGCGCCCAACGTACGAATGCCGTGGACATTCACTTTTTTTACGATGCTCAATATTGATTAATATATTTGTGTGTTATGATGATGTGCAAGATGCCCAACTAATGTGTACTCAATACTCATAGCACCTCACATACTGTGTGGAGTGCTGGTAAGCAAGATACGCATCTGGGGCCATACTTTCAAAACTCGTGAACGTAAGTACTTACGCTCTATTTTCTTGTCTATGATTGGTGGATTTTGCTTGAAAGGCCGTCAATGATTGGCTGATGAACTTACGATCTCTTAACTTTTTTTGAAAGTATGGCCCCAGATGTGTACTCGTATAGCACCTCAAATCCCTTTAGAATCAAGTTTGGCTAGCAGTTGTTGAGTAAAAATAAGCTTCAAATTACCACAAAGTTAGTACTCCCTTAACATGAAGTCAGTACTTTAGCGGTAATGCAGAAAGCAACTAAATGTTACAATTGTGTCCATGACGTGTATCCTATTACCAAAACTATTGTTTCCTCTTACATTACGAACATGACATTAGTCATCTGGATGCCTGCTATAGAGAAGTTTGATTTCTTACAGATCCAATCGCCCCATTGACACCACGGTTAATGATGCTGCCAACCCGACCATTTTTGTCAAGTATGATTCTCAGGAGTACTACCCTGAGTACTACGCGGAATGTTGAGGTGCCTAACCCCACACCTGAGTACCACGCGGAGTGTTGAGGTGCCTAACCCCACACCTGAGTACTACGCGGAGTGTTGAGGTGCCTAACCCCACACCTGAGTACCACCAGTGCAAATCATGGAAGCTTCGTAATCAAACCTGACACCACACGGCACACGTGTCCTCAACGTCCAACGTTCGGACTCGAACGCAAGTTTGTAAGGAATTTACACGAATATAATCGCTTTTAATCTTTATTTGGGAATCCACCGGACAAATTTTCGAGGGCAAGAAAATCAGAATTGAAGAAACAGTGGAGCAACTGCATCCAGAGAAAAAAAAACATTTGATTATCTGACAAACGCAGATAAAGTATTCTTATAATGCGTATATTCTGTATTCCTATCTATAGGCATATGATTTGACAGTGAACTTAATGCACAGTATTAACCTTGCGACACTAAATACGGCAGCAGCTAACAAACGAGGCGTTCCTTACGACACAGTTCCCGCAGAATGGGTGACGTGTGATGTGCGTCATTATACTGTAACGTAACAAAAGAACTTCTTGAATTACAATAAAATATAATGGGCTGCTTAATTGAACAATATGATGTCAAATATAATCGTTTGGTTAAGTGCGATCAAATATTGATTTACCATCCTTTTAAATTATTGCCGATGGCTCCATTTAGAAGTGGCATAGATGCCGTTCAGAGGTTTGATTTAGAAAAAAATGCGCAAAGGGTGGTTATAGCTTGGCCCAACTCAGCTAATTTAGTAAATAAGTTAATTAGTGATGAGGTTAAGGTTTTAGGCCGGCAATAAGGCCAAAGTAATTAATGCGTCATAGACGACTTCGATTTGTTGGGTCCAACCAAAGGAGTGAATTTGCATGCATTAATAGGACTAGGAGCCCATTCCCTGCATGAAATCAAGTAAATAAAGAGAGAAAATGCACTTATTATGCTGTACATTATATTGCAATCTAGAATGCACCATTTGTCACCTCCTTCCCCGCTCTTAACTGTCAATTTCTTATCCTAGACGTTAAGAAGTACTCAAACTTAATCTTCATGGTCTTCCTTAAATTGAAACGGAACAGAATTTCTTATAAGTTCAAGTTGAGAGAGAAATCGATCAATGAAACATTACCAATTTAAATGAATGTTCAAACGAGATAAGCGTTATGTTGATTTACTTGTTACACTCGTCCGTTCCATACGTTAATGGTATTCGATAAATATAGCTGCATAATCTATGCCCCGACTTGCTTCGATTTTAGAAACTTGGTCACATTAGAAACTTTAATCGTATTACAAATCTGACCGTTTTAGAAACTTGACCGTATTAGAAACTTGACCGTATTAGAAACTTGACCGTATTAGAAACTTGACCGTATTAGAAACTTGATCGCATTGGAAACTTGATCGCATTGGAAACTTGATCGCATTGGAAACTTGATCGCATTGGAAACTTGATCTATTAGAAACTTGATCAATTAGAAACTTGACCGTATTAGAAACTTGACTGTATTAGAAACTTGACCGTATTAGAAACTTGATCGCATTGGAAACTTGACCGTATTAGAAACTTGACCGTATTAGAAACTTGATCTATTAGAAACTTGGTCAATTAGAAACTTGATCATATAACTTGATCATATTCATGTATGCCTGTTGCGCATGTAACTATATTGATGAAAATTTTAATATAAAAAATTATTTAAAATTGTTTGCTTATCCATTGTACTTGAATCATAAAGACAAAAGTTTACTATTTCTCATTAAATGTTATATGTATATATTGGAATAAAGCCGAGAAATTATATCTAATTACACATGCATTTAAATTATAAATATAACTATGTTGGACATAGTGCAATACGTATAATATGTGGATTTTATTAATTGAACCTGAATAATGAACAAAATTCCTCCAATTCACCAAATCCCTCAGAGAACCGAGTCCATCATGAACATCATCAAATGGGCGACAATATATCATCTTTATTTGTTTGAGCTAAAAAAACTCTTAAGATTTTCACTTCTACCATATCTTGCTGAGTCTTGGGAGCATATATTGGCAATAAGAATTTACCGGCTAATAAAACGCTGAGTAATCCACCATATCTTTATTGAGAACGTTTTCAATTAAGATATGGTCAATACACTTGGCATATTCTTCGCTTTAAAATTATTCACGGAAGCTTGTTCCCGCTGAGCGGTCAGGACTAGTCACTAACATTCTGTGTAAGCTGTCGTCCGTTTTTATTTTGAGATAACTTCAATTTAAGTTGTGATATTTATGAATGGTGATTAAAGTGAAAGTAATAACTCAGGCTAAGCAACAACACCTTTCTTATTTACATTTATGATTGTTGTGACTTCTGAACCTAAATATTTAATTGAGTTCAATTTAAATTATTTAATTAAATACGAGCCGTTCGATCGCTTTTTTTTTAAATGCTTAATCTGTGTCTTAATTAATCGTTAGGTAATCTTCATTAATGATTAAATATTGAAAAAAACACACTTTTCTGTTCGGGAAAAGTTCAGTTGGTCTTTCTAGGCTGAAGTCTCAAGGCTTACTGAACTTAAAATGTAGGCTAAACACTCGCAGAAATGAAGATATTTTGTCCAAATAGCGATGCACTTGTTGCTTTTGTATGGGTCATCCTGACACAGTTTGGCCTGGCATAAGGGTATATCAGTGCTACGTCCAGAAAGTGCGTCACCATTTACACAAATGAGCCATTTATTTTTCGGAGTCTACAGTAAGATAAAGGAATTTTCAGACATAACTGAGAAACCTCATCACCGAACTGACACATTAATTGTTTACTGTAAAATTATGCATTTATATATGTCTTGTGACTTAATAATTCATTTCAATTCTCATATATGGTGAGTAATCACAACGAAAGTATTAAAAATGTAAAGGAAATATGAAGTTACGATATTTTTCAGGTGAAAATTGAAAATTTACCACAATTTTGGTCTCTTATATTCGCGGAATGATTTCGAAACAACTTCTAGCCATCGATGAGACATTTTTGCGCTCCCCGCCATCCCCGTTTGCGCTCGAAGAGTTTTCTTTAACGAAACAAGCCGCTAGAAACGAGCAAACTTAGCAGTCTAGGATACGTAGCAGTTTAAGTACACGTAGCAGCCGACTTCTCGCCTGTGATTGGTGGGTTTAGATGGAAAAGCCGTCTGTGATTGGCTGACGGAGTTACGAACTCGTAAATATATTTTTATTTTTATTGTGTTCGGTCTCGACAAACTGGAACTACTGCAATGCCTGAACTGCCACAAAACACCTCGCTCTTAAATACATTTTTACTGAACAGCAGGGAGCAGGAGTTATTTTAATTTTAAATTGAGACTTTTTAATTTTTCTCGAGAGACTCGCAGTCTTTTTACTGTTGATATCTTATAAAAATTTGCTTGGTTGATATAGGCGTTATTGCTGTTATGCGTTATAACAAGAAATTTTGTTCGACTCATTGAAAAAACATATAAGAAGATTGTTACTAAAAAGTATGTTTTGCACTGATACTAAAATTAGTTAGTGTCTTTATAAAGCTTTGTCATTGACTGACATATTCGTACGAGGATCAATCTGCGTAATGCTATTCGTACGGTGTGCATGTGAATAACCCCACAGAATTGAATATAATGTAATATAAATATAATATGATATATATATAATATAATAGAAAAAGTGTTGGCACCACAGTAATAGGCCTGTTGCCAATTCTCTTACTTTTCTTCACTTCTGTTCAGAGGAGATCTAAAAATCGGCCTTTTCACCGGGCCCCCAAAATAGGTTCGCTTCAGTGTTCGCATGGAAAATGTGCCAATATATTAAAAGATGTTAGGACGAATCTCTATAACATTATAGTTTTAATGCAACATTTGGCCCTTTAGAGATATTCATTTTTTTTCTTATTTGGTATTAATACTAAACAATTTCACTCGTCAATAGTTGCTTGTTGTAAAAACATTGTTATAAACTTACGTCTGAGTTTTTATTTGCTACTATTTGCTTTTTGCTACTACTTTTTTTTGCTGCTACTTTTATTTGCTAAATAGAATGAATTATACCGTTACAGAAAAAATTTATAAAAAATATCCAGTTAAACTACAGAAAATTTATTTCCAATTCAGGTCATGTTGTAGCTCAGGGGGAAGCGAGTGGTTAAGATCAGCAAAATTTGAGCAATGAGTTGCGGGTTCGCAACCTGCAAGCAGTTGTGAAAATTCTGCTCGAGATCGGCAAGGTTATTCCAATCTCTAATCTGACACTTCTACACATATGTGTATATAATAATAGCGATTTCATTAGGCCGTTATAAATGTCGCCGATTCTTAACATTGCAGAACATTCACAGCCTGTTGCAATCTCGAACACGCAACTCTCTGCTTCATTTTTGCTTTTCTTAACCGCCCGGCCTCCTCGCTGATTCTGGTCTGAAACAGGCGCAGTTAGCTGGGATCGAACCCGCACATCTCTGCTACAGTCTTGGTACTCTTAACTATAACCACTGGGCCACCCTACTGGTGCACTTAGAGGAAGTAAAAGTCGTAACAAGGTTTCCGTAGGTGAACCTGCGGAAGGATCATTATCGTGACCAAAAAAGTTACTTGACTGTGTGGTTTCATATCCCGTAGACTTTTGGCTTCCCACAGAAATGCCTCGGGATTTTCATATATTTTTATGTACTACCATATTTTTGTTTTCCAGGAGAGAGCGGGTCGTAGAAGGACGACATCACGGAGAAAAATGTGCTACATCGCAGAGCAAATTCCAGCCAAGATGCCGGACTTGAAATTTTCCTACGAGGGATTTTTCAACTCCGGTTTAATGATAACAATGGAAATTCAATCACAATTTATTTAATTAGGATCCACTGATCTAATATAACTTTGTTTCAGGTGATCGGGAGATTAAGGTATATCCGTATGAAAAGTATAATTCGATACAATTGTTTGCTAATCATTATAATCATAATATCATGATAAAATAATATATTATCATAATAATTATTATTTTTAATCATTAAATAGGTAATTAACATTCCTTAACATTACATTTTTATTTAAGTTTGTTTTTATCGCGAGACGTCGTAGAGTTTGTCTGGAGTTTTTGCTCACGTTGGCTATTTAATTTCAAACATCCCGAAGACACATAATACAAACACAAGAAAATGTTACGAAATGACGGAGACAAAGAAGACTTTGAAACTGAACGCATCCCACAATGTAAAGGCCCACACAAGAAAACAACATACATGTCAAATATCCTTACAGTAACAGCAACCTTATACCGACTCCACCCAGAAGACTTCCCCCCACAACAGTTGCAGGACTCGGTGCAGTGACAACACACTACACTTACACCCCCTACAGCCTACACGAAGCGCCGACTGTTGCTAGATGCCAGTTTCCGAATATCACGTTTAGGTGTAGTAATCCAGCGCTGAGGTACTGATGGAACGTACCAAGACAGACACACAGCAAATACGATTAACGACTTGACCCCTTCATCAAAAAATGTACATGTACGCCGCCTACTTTTTGAATCTCGATTGCCTCACCCCCGTATTTACATTCTTACTGTCAGCATCAACGGCATTACTATTATTACGATCTCGTATCGTCATTATCCCAGCTTCCTGCGGCAGTTCTGATCGCAATCGACGAGGTGCCTTGCGGTTAGGTATAATGGATATTAGAGCAGTGCGTTGCGTGTTCGAGACCCGCAAAAAGCTGTGAAAAACTCTGCCGGCCATGACAAGAATCGGCAAAAGGCCCCGTGGCCTAAGATGCTACGCTGGCAAAAATGTCATCGTAAAAAACACACATAAGTAAAATGCATGTAAATGAAGAGAGTACATAGAACTTTATTTTCTCTTTTGTATTCCTGATGTAAATACGAACTCACGTGATTCAATGGAAAAGAAATATTTTTATAGGAAGTGTCGAAATGAATAAGTTGAAACTATACAATCCTATACCGAGTATTTTGAACATGTTCCAGCATCCAAGGCAAGTTTCAGTATATACAACTCTTCATTTTCCAAGTTTCCCAAGCAAGGTGGACGTCTCATCCTCAGTGATGATTTAATTTACAGCATACCAAAGAGGGATCATAGAAACTATAACATCGAAATCAAAGCAACGAAATCAAATTAAATGCAATGCTTTAAAGTACAGTATACCAAATCAACTCGTTTATTTGTTCACTCTGAAAGTGCGGTCTTGTCCGTAAATCTTATCAATTTGATGAGTGACAGAAGCATACAAGGGTAATAGATCAGCATGACTTTTGATGCTCGCATGATATTGTTTTGATTTGATATTTCGATGAGAAGTTGAGAACAACTGATTTGGATCGCTTGCCGCTTGTAATCCTCTTACATAAAGAGAAGTAAAATAAATCTGAATCACCATTTTACACACCTGGTGAGTCTTCCAGAAGAAGCAAATCTTCTTATCTTCCTCTGAATGCGCATAAATTCGGAGAATTAAAGTCTAATTTTGCATTAAAGTGTCATTTGCAAAATATTAATCCCACCTTGCTTCATTTCATCCGACGAAACAAATCTTTCAAATGACGTTATCACTGTTTTTTCTGTTTTTCCTTTTCTTGCTTGCTTGGCATATAACGAGCGTGACCTCTCATCGCGATCATGGGAACTACAGCGAAGGCCTGCGTTACGAAGCTGTAGGGTCAATCTGAGTCTGAGTCAGCGCTATTTTTCGACTATGGACTTTAAGATCACCCGCTGGGATATCCCCGCACTTTCCGAAGGTCTGGATAATACGTCAACGACGTCTCCGACCACGGACGTCACGGCTCTGAAGGGTGATAAGATAATTCCAGCTGCGATTCCGGAAGTAACATCAACAGTTTTTTTGAATAGTCCAGCCTTGTCCTCCTTTGCTCGTTCTTCCGCCTTTGCTCGTTCTTCCGCCTTTGCTCGTTCTTCCGCCTTTGCGCGTTCTCTCGCCTTCTGGAAAAAAATGTTGCTCATTATGATTACCACGTCATTCACTGCATTCGGTCAATTTTTTGGACCACAGTTATTGAAGTATTTTCAAATATCGCGAAAATTAGAGGGTTATTTTTCGTGAGCATACGTTCTTGCATTGCAATGCTACTCTCATATAAACAATGAAACCTTAGATAGCTACAAATATATGAAAGAGTTAATAGACCCCTATTCGAACTAGATTGTCATGAAGCTTTTTACGTATAATTCTGCTGTAGATTGGCATTGTAGAAGTAAATGATGGCGAGGAGACAGCATTATGGAGGTAAAGGATGACAATGTCGGAGCAGATAACCCAAGTAGACGGTGTGTTAGCAAAAAAAGAATGGAAGTCGTTACTGATGCACCTAAACTGCAAATAGTGATTTCTGATCGAGTGTTGATTATTTTCATATTTTTGGTAATAACAATAAATTAAGTTTGGGAGCAAATAATTTTTTCAGTGCGGTTGTGCCAATATATGAGGCTGGAGAAGAAGGTGGTTCAGAAATTGAATCCAATAATTATATCATCGTTTCTTTTCGAGGTTTAACCATCGCTTAACTATAACCAAGGCAAAAATATGGACAATCACGACAGTGATGCAATGTGTAAGATTTCTGCGAGTAGTTTCTGATGATGATTGATTAGACTCAAGTTTCACCATATTTCTTCTGGGAGGGTAACTCGTCGTCGGGTTTAACTTGTTTGGAGATTATTTCGTTCAATTATACGATCAGTTGCACGTATAAGCAGTAATAAGGTATAAAGACGATGGAAATAGATTTCTTAACATGAAAAAGTTCAGCCTAACTACTCATCACTTAATTGAAACTGTCCTGCTAGACGTAGACTTTGCAAGCAGGCTTGCACGATAAAAACTACAGGAAGCTTTCCTTTCATCGAGTTCTTCAAAACAATAAGTAGCTTTAGCAAAACCAATTAGCGATCAACCACAAATTGTTGATAAATCTATGCAATTAACTAAATGCGTTTGAGAGTGGCTAAAAGAACGTCGGCAAGCGTAGACGGTCAAAATTCACACAATTATAGTGTAGTTAAATGACGTTGGTGGTTAGACCGGTTATGCGTGATGCTGAAGATATTTATGAACGATCATGAGTATTTAAAGATTAAGTTGCGTGGTCACATCCTCGTAGGCAAATTTTAGTAGTTACCGCCCTTTTTGCTCATTTTGATGAATATTTATCTTCTACATCAATTTAGCTTCATTCACATTGAATAGAAGTGTCGGCCTGTTGCCGATTCTTGTACTTTTCGTGACTTGATTCCATAAGGGATCCAGCCTTTTGAACCCGATCTTTCCATAACTGACGATTGATTGAGATAGCAGCTATACTTATTGCCTGGTCCGTAAGGTGCTGGTCATTTTAAGACTGAACATATGCTCCTGCATAGCTTCGTCTAGTCTGTTCTTGAAGGCGTTCATACTCGGAGCGTCAACGATGCTATCACGGAGGCTATTCCACATGTCGGTGACTCGAAGCGAGTAGAAATGTTTTTGTTGTGGTTCCCCGGTCTCATGTTTACAAGAGACCCCCCTCGCGCAAGTACGACACCACCGATCGACAGGGGGTCGCTCCAGAGCTGTAGGGCCGAGGTTATGTGATGGTGTTGTCTGAGATCCTGCCAGATCGGACATTCCAGGGGAATGTGAGTGATTGTGTGGGGAGCTCCCTGGCAGGATGGGCAGGTGTCTGTTTCTGATTGGCTGATTCTGTTTGCGTATGTTTGTAGTGAAGGGTGATGGCCGCAGCGCAGCCTGGCTAGGTGTACTCTCTCCAGTCTAGAGAGCTGAGTTTCTGTGCTGCTTATGTCAGGTAGTGGGTACCCAAGGACTTTGTGTTGCCGGCCAGCTCCAGCCTTCTAAGTGTCATAATTGTGTGCAAGTGTTTTTTTGTGCTGGTTTTGCCTTGGGGTGGAGGTACTGTATCTAGTATGTTGGTGTAGTATCTGTGTGGGGTTTGCGCTATTTGTCTGTGTGTAGGTGGGTGGTCGCGTAGGTAGTGGCATGGGTGTTGTGTGTTGTTTATGGCTGCGGCTATGAACTGTGTTCCTCTCATGTCGAGATGTGCTTTTATGGGAAGTATTTTTGTTTCTGCATAAAGGTGTTCGATGGGGATGCTTTATGTGCAGCCTGTGACTATCCAGAGTGCTTTGTTTTGTAGTGTTCGGAGTTTCTGTATGTTTGTGTTGGATAGTGCAGGCGCCCAGCCGGGGTTGGCATATGCCAGCACTGTTCTGATGAACTGTTTGTATGTTGGTGCTAGTGTTTCTTTGTTTTTGCCGAATTTGGTACCGCCTAGGGCCCGAAGTGAGTTGAGTCTGATGTTTGCGTTGTTTACTATGTAGTTGATGTGAGGGCCGAATGTAATGGAGGTGTTGTAAGTGACCCCTAATATTTTTGTTTCCTGTGTGTGTGGGATCGGGGTGTTGTTTAATGTGATGTTTGGTCTGTATTGGGGCTCCTATGTGTGGCTGCATGGTCATTAATGTGTTTGTGGATTTACTAGGAGCAACCTTGAGTCTGTTCAGTGTAAGCCATTGTCTGCGGATAAGTACATATGTCTGCGGATGGGTGAGCGGATGTTATTGTGACGTCGTCAGCATAGGAGGCAATGTGGATGTTTGGAGGTGGTTCGGGTATGTCGTGCATGTATAGATTGAAGAGTGAGGGTGATAGGACGGAGCCCTGTGGGACTCCGTTGGGTATGAGTGATGTGTGTGATGACTTGCCTGAGAGCCCTGTGGGACTCCATTGGGTATTAGTGATGTGTGTGATGACTTCCCTGAGTAGTGTACGTATGCTTGTCTGCCTGATAGGTAATTGGCAAGCCAGCGTTTGTTGTTGTTGTGTAGTGTGGTGTTGTAAATTTTGTTTGTGAGAGGGAGGTGAGGGATGGCATCAAAGACTTTACTGATGACTATTGTAAGTAGTAGTGTTCTGTGTGCGGGTTTGCGGGAGTTGATGCCATCGTTTATGCTTTGTGTGAGGTTTGTGAGTAGTGTTGTGGTCGAGTGGTGAGGTCTGAATCCGTGTTGTGTTGGAGAAAGTGTAATGTGCGGAGTGGCTGTGTTCAGTATGAGGCGCTCTATGACTTTTGGTGGTGTACAGAGGAGTGTGATTGGTCTGTATGAGGTTGCCTCAGTGGGTGGTTTGTTGGGTCTGAGAAGTGTGACTATTTTGCTAATTTTCCAGATGTATGGTATTTTGGAGTGTGAGTAGGAGAAGTTGGCAATGTTTGTAAGTGTCGTGATTCCGTGTGGGCCAAGGTGTTTAAGGTGTATGTTTGTAATGTCGTAGGGCCCAGCAGCGGAATAGTTTTTAATTTGTTTTGTGACCCTTTTGGTGTCGTTTGTAGTGGCTAGGGTAGCTGTTGGGTCTAGTGGAAATTGTTGTTTGCGTCTGATGATGCGTCTGTCTTGTTTGTATTTGGGTACCTACTTATGTTTGCGTAGTGTTGTATTAGTATGTTTGCTTGTGCTTGTCTGGTGGGGATGTTGTCTGTGTTGGTGGTGATTGCTGCGTGGGTGTGTTCTTCATTGACCTTCTGAGAAATGTTGTAGCATGGATGTGTTACAATGCAGCTTTTTTTAGTTTATAGCCGTGGCCCCTGGTGTTGGTTCTTGTTTCAAATTCTAGTAATCCTTTTGGGACCTTATATAAACTGTGGGTATACTAGTATACTTCAATGACGTCACCTTGCAGACGTCGATAACAGAGGCTTGGAAGCTCCATAATCTTCAACCTTTCTTCATAAGGCTTGCCTTTTAATCTCGGAATTATCATTTTTGCACGTTTGTCCTTTTCTAGTTTTGGTGACCACACGGCGTTTCAAAACTCTAGGTTCGGACGCACGACAGCAACAAATAACAGTTTCATCGCTCCAGCACCTACAGGTATGTACTCGTAAGAGCGTCTGATCAGTCCAAGTCGTTTATTGGATTTATTAACTTGAGCTTCAATTAGCTTAGAAAATTTCAACTCATTGTCGACATTAACTCCTAAATCTTTTCCATTGTCGACTTCGACATCATCACCCTGTTGTTGCAACCATGTCATTTCAAACAGTTATCTTGCTGTTCATTATTCTTGCCAAGGTGGATTACTTTACTTTTGTCAGCGTTAAATCGCAGCTGCCACTTATCAGCCCAGTCAATCAACCTGTCAAGATCACAATGCAACTGTACTTTTTGCGACGTATTCTTCACTGTAATATAAACTTTTGTGTCGTCAGCATACATCGAGCACACGCTTAGCACAGCTTCTGGCAGATCGTTTATAAACGCAACGAATTAAACAGGGCCGAGAACGCTTCCTTGTTTCAAGCCGCTGCGCACTGAAGCCCAGTCTGATACGGACCCATTAATACTGACACGTTGTCGTCTCCCAACTAGAAAATTTCGGATCCATTTAATTAAGTACATTACTCTCAATACCTAAAGACTTCAATTTACGCTACAGCCGCTCATATGGGACACTGTCAAATGCTTTGGTAAAATAAAGGTACACTGCATCTTCTGGCTCCCTTTCGTCCTGCAGGCGGGTCCATTCATTCAGAGTAGACAAGAGGTTAGTGGTGAAGGATCTATCGGCAATAAGGCCATGTTGACAGTCTGAAATGAGATTATTAACAGTCAAATGATCGATCAATCGATCCTTTACAACAAATTCCATTACCTTGCAAACGACACTTGTCAAACTGACAGGGCGATAGTTGCCCGGGCAGCTTTTGTCACAATTTTTGAACACTGGTGTCACTTGGGCATCTTTTCAGTCAGCCGGAAAGATCCCTTCGTTCAAAATTTAAAAAAAAAAATGACGTCAAAGGGTCGTCTTGAACAGTTGCTAACTCTTTGAGTAAGCTGGGGTGGAAGCTATCGGGTCTACATGACTTGTTTGGATTTAGATCGGATGCTTGGCGATCAGATGCTTGAGAACCTCTTCTTCATGTATTTCAAAACTTGTTAACTTAGAGCCGAGTGGGCGCTCCTCAATAGCTGGAATACTGTTCAAGTCCTCTTCAGTGATTACGCTACTAAAAAACTGATTAAGATTAAAGGGCCTAAAAACTGCCCTTCTTTGGGAAGCTGTCACGAAATCATTTTTTGACGCACAGGGATGATTCTGGTACCGTTGAATGCGTTGAAAAGTGAGCTTTAAGATGAGCCCAAAAAGTGGAAAACGCCTAAATTGAAAATTTTAGGTTAGACGGTCCCCTTAACTCGAGAAAGTTGTAATTTTTCCTATTATGATTATCATAAAATTCCAATGACACTTAATCACTTATATATATGAATATAGGTGAAAAATCACCAATGATCCAAAGTTGATTGTATCTCAATTTTCAAATCACTAAAGCAAATTTGGAATTCAATCATTTACTTTTCCGTTTCCTCATTCTCATCGTTTTCGACACGCTCCGTCTCATAAAAAAGAAATGTTGTAAGTAAGTTGTTCTTGCAAACATTGACAGTTAAAAGAACTCGTAAAATTCAAATTTAACTTTCGTTTATCTGAATAGTTTAATCTTAAATTGAGGCTAAACATCCGCCAAACCTCCAAGTGTGCAGTACAATCTGGACCTCAATCGTACCTCGTGCATCGCCATGTTGTTGTTCTTCAGCACATAGGTCCCGAAGACTTCTTCAATCCTCTGAAAAAACTTTGCTCATTATGATTGCAACTTCATTCACTTCCTTCTGTAAATTTTTTAGTCCACAGTCATTGAAGCATTTTGAAATATCGTTTAAATTTAAGGGTTATTATTCATGAGCACACGTTCTGGTATTGTAATGCTACTCTCATAAAAACAATGAAACCTTATATAGTTAAAAATAAATGGAAGAATTGATAGATTTCTAATCGAATTAGATTGTCATGAAGCTTTTCACGTATAATGCTGCTGTAGATTGGCATTGTGGAGGTAAAGGATGACAATGTCGGAGCAGATAACCCAAGTAGACGGTGTGTTAGCAACAAAAGAATGAGGGTCGTTACTGATGCACCTAAAAGTGTAAATAATAGTTTCTGAAAGTGCATTATTTTCATATTTTTGGTATTAACAATAAAAGTATGAGAGCAAATAATTTTTTCACAGTGACTGTGCCAATATATGGGGCGGGAGAAGAAGCTGGTCCCAAATTTGAATCCAATAATTATATCAACGTTGCTTTTCGAATTCTAACCTTCACTCAACTATAACCAAGGCAAAAATATGAGCAATCGCATCAGTGATGCAATGTGTAAGATTTTCGTGAGTAATTATTGATAATGATTGATGAGACTCAAGTTTCATCATATTTTTTTGGACAGGGAGTTTAACTCGTCCTCGGGTGTAACATGCTATTGAGATTATTTGGTTCAGTTTTGCGATCAGTTTCACGTATAAGCAGTAATAAGTTATAAAACAGCCATAAATACGATGGAATTCAATTTCTTAATGCAAAAATGTTCAGCCCTACTAATCATCACTCAATTAGCCCTGTCGTGAATCTGGACGTGGACCTTGCATGCAGGCTTGCACGATGCAAACCACAGAAAGCTTTCTTTTCATCGAGTTCTTCAAAACAATAAGTGGCTTCACCAAAACCAATTAGCGTTCAACCGCAAATCGTTGCTTAGCGTCGACAAGCAAAATTCACACAATTATAGTGTAATTAAACGACGTTGGTGGTTATACCGGTTATGCGTGATGCTGAAGATATTTAAGAACGATCATGAGTATTTAAAGATGCAGTTGCGTGGTCACATCCTCGTAGGCAAATTTTAGTAGTTACCGCTCTTTTTTGCTCAACTTGATAAATATTTATCTTCTACTTTTGATAACTGTAAATCAAGAACAACTTTGCAGCTTTGTGATCACTATATATTCAAGCTTCGCTCACATAGCGTTATGCTGCCACGTGTGTAGGGATATGACATACTCTCTCATGTTCGCTTCACACATTGTAACATGTACTAGATCATGCTTGGTCATTTGAAACTGCCAAATTCTTCCATCTACATGATCTCTAGAAAGTTGTCATTTTTCCTTTAATGATTATCGTAAAATCCAATCACAGTTATCGCCAATTCTTTATGAATGTCGGTGAAAAATTATCAATGATCAAAAGAAATTCGTATATCAAGGTTTAAATTCCTGAAGATAATTTAGAGTTGAAGCATTTTCCTTCCCGTTATCTCAGAACGCATTTTGCCCTAGACGTGGAAACTAATGCTGAACTGTTATGATGGTATGTGAGCTTCAGTAGGAAGACCTCGCACTAACATTTTATGTAAATATTCTAAAGAAGTATTAAACTTCTAATGATATGCATTCATCTCTTACTTTCTCTTTATGGCCGTTCAATAGTTAAATCATAGTACGAATTGCACCGTTCGTCTTCATTTCGACATTGATGTTTGATCGTCGAGTTCTTCGTCCAGCTCTCAATAAAAGAACTTGAATCGCTCTTGGATTAAAAATCCATGCACATCATAGACTACAAATTCTTGAACTTTCTGACATTGTGGATTACTAATCGCCTGACATCATGGATTACACAAATTTGAATCACTCAATATCATGGATTTGCAATCTGGCATATATAATTTATGTTAGTATCACCGATCATGCGCGCCTGCATGCTCATTTGGCGCCATTGCAGCACATATCTGCCACCTATTCAAACAAATCAATAATATTTATTGATACAAATTATTGCCTCTGCGCTCCATGCCTAATAAGGCAAAGCATGCATGTGATTGCGTAAGCACAATCATCATATCTGTCCATGCACAATCTGTCCGCGAATATGCACTCGGAGCGCAATTACTTGGATAACACTCGGATAATAATTAGGCCGCGAATATTACTCGGAGCGCGAATATACACTATCGCAATTACCCAGAGTGTTCGTTCATCGATATTATGAATACATGATTGCACTTTAGAGGGCTTTGACTTACCGTTTCGAGGCTTTTCCTAACTTTGTCTACAGTTGCAGACAAAGCCTTGCTTCTGGCGTATTGGTTTTCCTTGTCGTAAGCTGCAATAGCTTCTCTTTTTGACTCTGAGTGATAGCTGTATAGAAGAAAACCTTCAAGAGATCTTCCATGGGCTTGGATTTTTGAATCCATTGTACTTTTGTAAAGCTCAAATGCCATCTTGCTGGTCTCATCGCTTGTGACGCGCACCATTATCTGAACAGGGAATGTTGTAAGTAGGTTGTTCTCGTTAAATTTCGTAAACAGTTGAAAGGTCTCGTAAAATGTTGATTAAGACATAGGATATCTTAATAGTTAATCATAAATTCATTACATATATCGAATTAAGTGTTGAGTCCCAAAGTCTTAGAAGACAGAACATTTGGACAATAATTTCATTAAGCTCAGCACCTCAACGAGGGTGGTCGGCAGAACTTCTTTATTCTCTCTGAAGGCCTCCATGTAGGTCCTGAAGAGGCGCACCAGCTCCTCCCCGGTGGCGGGTTGTCCTCGACGCGCGGCTGAGCGCTTCTCCACGAGGCGCTCAGGCGCCAGCAGGCGAGGCACCAGCTGCTTCAGGTGCTCCACGAATTCTTCGTCCAATTCTGTTCAGAAAATTACTCAATTGAAGAAAATACGAACGTTTCAGAACATCCAACTCAGATTGAAATCGTCTCGAAGATGGTTGCAAGTTACAATTACTGATTTATTATTGACTATTCCATGAAGAAAAACGTAACGGTAATCTTGGGTCACAACCTTAATTTTTCACTCTTCAGAGCTACGAAGAATACCAAAAGTGAAGTTAAGGAATAAATTTTTCAGCGTAAAATATTTTTTTTAATTTAAGTTACACAAGAAATAATCTGTATATATCTGAGATTGAATAAGTTAAGTTATCAAAGAACTTTTCCCCCGTTCGAATACCATCCCACGTGAAGCTGTGATTTTGAACAGATCTAATTGATAACAAATTTACTACTAACAACATAAATTTAAGTGTCCCAGCGAGCTCACGATTTGGTCGACCATCAAAGTCTTTATCCCTGCTGGCACGCAAGCCAATGTGCGGCATAAGATAGCACTCCAGGTCCTCGAAACTCTGGTGGAGGTCTTCTCTAAGTCGCTGGTGCGCCGGCTCCTGATTTTCGTTTACCTGGTAATTGGGTTTTCATTACAAAGGGCATTAATGACAATCAATGTTGTGCCACTTTGTGCAGCATTAGTAGAAATATCGCATGCAATTAAATTCTATAACTTATATTTTCTTCGAACCATTCGCTACAATATTTGAGGTGTTGCTACCAATCGTTCTACTAAAACTCACATCAGAATAAAGGCTATAAACTCGGGCTCCGCATATCGGCACTTCTCTAGTACAGAATGAATGATGAAAGACACTCCTTTAGCTGCACCCGAAATTCTATCAATTCGAAATTCTATGAGCCGAAGCCAAAAACTGCTTTTAATTTTTAATCATTCTCAATTATCTACCATTCCATATCTTCAGAATAACGTACAGCAACATCAGAAGTCGTCATTCTGACCAGTATGGCCTCAAGCCATGCTTCTGGCGACCAAAATTGTAACCAACTTACCGTCAAAATTTTGTCGAGTACATTTTTGCCGCCCTGGTGGCCGTATGGATGCTGCGTTGGAAAGCTCCAGTCGCGTACCAGGAAGAGTAGCTTCTGTATAGGAAAAATTTCGAATTCTAAACTCTCTAATTTTAGGTTTCATGTCATTTTGGTGAATGAATGAAGAGCGTCTGCGCACTTAAAATTAAAAATTACCCAATTTGAATCACACGATTTGTAAAATTGCCCACACCGAAAAACAATTAATGTTTTCGAATTTATTTGAACACGGAATACAAAATTCACGAAATGAACTTTGCTTATATTAAATACCAATCAATCACCAACAATTACTGAGACAACGAGAAACCTAAATCTTGTTTTCGAGAGCTGTGAGCAACTCGGATTAAAATTTCTGCTAACGTACGCGACTATTATAGCCGTCATTGCAGAAACACTGCCCTCATTACGTTTCAAGCGCTACTGGGTGCCACCGTACCGCCTTGCATATGAAGCCCGGCCACGAACATTTCACTGCTGAACTGCAGGCAGTCCCGAGCTTGCCGTCAAACAGCGCTTTTCAGCGCCATCACGCATGCAGTGTGCATGAAGGCAACACGAGAAAACCAGCAGATTGACATGCGGCCAACTGCATGCACATCGACTGCGTGGCTGCTTAAAACAGCTTCGTTTCGATTCGTCCGTTTAAAACTCGTCCAAAACATACAAATACGAAAATGAAACATTGTATAGTATATTTAAAATCAAATTGAGATAATAATCTATTTATCTTGTTACGATGTTTCACATTAGAAATCATGACACAGTAGTGGCTCTAAACGAGGTTCATCACGGTCCCAAAGTGTCAAAGTGTGCAGTCTGCATGAGTCACACGCACCTTGCGGGTGACTACATATCGTTCAGTTCTTCAAGTCCTGACTTCTCGATAGGAGGGCAATCATGTACAACGAAAATATTAAGCTGTGTGTTCCAAGCTTAAATATTGTAGTAATTTCCAGTTAAGAATTGTTACACAATTCAAAAAATCTAAATTTTGAAATCACAGGGGCAATATTGTATGAGATGATTCGTGATTTTAACAATCGAAACTTCAAATTAAGAATTACTCGATGGGAGTTGAGTAAGTTTCTATAAATTTTACTCCTCGTCTTTCGAGAATTTAGTTGTGTGTTGTCAGATACTGACAAGAGTGCTAAAGTGCTAATTCACTGCTGACGGAACTATGTAAGAAATTTTAATGCATGTATTTGTTGTATTTCAATTTTTAAATTGTAGAATAAAGACAGTGTCAGGGAACCTTTCGTTGCAACAATTGTTAAGTGGGGTTTCATTTGCCCAGGATCGTTCCCACTGCCTAACAACTTCCATAAGTTTTGACTTGAAGATAAATGTTTTATCGCACAATTTTAATTATTTGTATAGAATAGTTGCGTCTCTTCACCACAATGACAAGTCTAGGGTTGAACGCGCAGATTTTTCATTTTTTAAAATCCGTTCAAAGTGGATTCTCTATTTTTCGTTAAAAGATTCAATAAAAATGTTTCAATTTGATTGCAATATTGGGACTTGAATATATTTTTTATATAAAACTAACTTGTTTTTTTTTAATTAATGCATGTTTTTGAGGACTAAATAGAGTATGATTCCTTCGATAGAGTCCTATTTTCCAGGTGTACTGTGTTGGACGTCTCATCGTAGAAACTCAAGTTTGCAGGAGACCTAACTCGCCATCTTGACGCTGATCGAAATTCGGGAACCCGTTGATCTGTCACATTGACGACACAAGAGCGACCAGTGTGCAATGTTCTACTTTTGAATTAGATTTTACACCGTAAATCTCACCTATGAGATTCCCAATAGGAAACTCCATAACATTTCATCCGCCCGGCGTGTCACACTACGAAATACATCAACAATAACGAAATGACTGAAAAAATTTCATTGTTATAAATGTAGCATAAAATTCATGACCCATGACCACTGTCACATTGACTTCTTACAAGTAATACGATTTTTGTAATTGTACACGCCGCGCGTGGATGAAATGCTGAACAATTCCCAGAGTTAACCCTAAACCTGAAACTCTATCCACTTGAATTGTCAGTGGACAAAGGAGATGACAAGCCTATGTATTTATCGCATAATTTCAATGAACTATTGCATCAGCTTTCAGAAATTTGTGGGAGCTTTGGTAGGTTTGAGCAAAAAGAATTTACACGAATCTCTGTAGACTGCAGGACTAGGAAGTAAAAGTTGCAATACAATTTAGGCATCGCAATGGATATCTGTCATATCTCCCAACCCCAACAAAACCCAAAGCACCAAATCTCAACCTAGTTATGCGCATTGCGCCTATTCCGTCTTCTACTGCTATTTCCTTTTCTGGCCACTCTGTGCCACCTCTTGTTTTTTCTCTAAACTTTCCTTGTGGCACCGCACCACCACCACCACCACAATGCATATAACTTCGAAAACGGTCGGTTTTGATGGCAACTATGTAGGTTTATTTGGACGTTATCTGGTACGATTACTTAATTCTTTATTACATGACATATATTTGCAAACTTTTTTAAACAAGTAATCGAATGAATAGCAATTTATTTATTTTCATTAATGTAATTCAGTGAACTTATTATAAATGTTTTTAAATATTCGACAGTCCTAAACTAGGGCAGTAGTCCTAGTTCCACTTTAAATAGTTGGCAGTCCTTCTTTCGTGGACACCAATCAAAGCACTTGTGGTTGAGATGTCTCAAGAATTGGCAATAAATTACTTCAAAAGTGAAATCAAACGTTGTCAGACAGGTGGATTACACAATCGAACAAAAAATAATTTAGTAGGGCGTTTTCGAATAAAGTTTAGTAGAAATGCGCCCTATTAATATTCAGCTTACTTGATCTACGAACAAACAATTTCCCAATTTTTATAAAATGCACTTACCTGAAATGCGCAGGAGTTTTGGTTGGTGGAGTTCTGCGCCAAGGTCCCGAAGGTGCAGAACGTCTGCAGGTTCATGAGGTCGTCTTCTTTGATGTTGTACATCAGATTGTACACAGTTACGGAGGACGTCAGCAGCGTCAGGGCGAAGATGAAGGTTGACTCCTTGAGGTAGTGAGACTAAATGAAACTTTCACCTTAATACCTACTGAATTACTTTCGTCGCGGATTTTGATACACAGAATCCTTGGGTAATTTGATAAACGGTTGTGTTATATGTGTTGTTATAGACACAACATTGAACCGTGGCATTGCTGAGTACAAGTAAGTGGCTTCTTGTTAACCGTACTAGCTTTAGGCGCTTATACAAATGGCTAGTATTAGCTGCGAGTATGCGCTGCAAGTTTTCACACTCCCATTTTTGCAGCTGAAAGCTTGTACACGAGAAAAGTATAGGGCTAACAGTATTTTAACATTCGCAAGTGTCAGTGCGTCGTTGGAAGCCGCCGAGCCAGGTCCGTACATGATGGAATATGGAACGTAACTGTAATGACGAGTTTCAGGAGGCGTTGGATGAAGAAGTTGGGGCCTAGTTGCCACTCATGCTGACGAGGTGAAAAACTTTGTAGGTCAGCGTTGAGTGTAGGTGAAAGACTTAATAAGATCTCGTTTGAGTTTAAATCAATTCTTTCTCAGTTAGTTTTCGTTGGGGTATTCACTGAGGCGTGCATTACACAGCAGATCGTACTCTTGGAATATCTATAAGAACAGTTCAATATCATCTGAACACCTCTTGACGCTTTTAGAACAGTCGTCGTTGGGACAAGACATAGTTCAAACCATTTTGAACACTTGCCCCAAATAGGATACAGAGCGTCACAGATGAGCCCACTACTGCCATTATGCCATACATAAAGGCACAATAACTACCTGAACGCAATTAGCATCAGCTACTTGCATCTGAAGAATGAGACATCACATATTTGGCATGCGAAAACTTGCAGCGAATGCTCCCAGCTAATATTAGCCCCGCGTACGAGCACTTTATGGCAGAAACTCTCTCTGCCCTGCAGCTCCTAAAGCTCCTCGTAGTTATAGCTGGCATTGAAGAGATGAAACCTTATACTTTTGCTTCTTATGCAGATACAATCAAGCAACGTCCTTCCTTCAATATTTTATTGTTGTTCGTTTGAAATACTAAGCATTCTCAATATCAGTCTGTACTTTTGACATTTACGCATTATATAATTTTAAGAACATGTAAATGCAAAAGTTTTTTTAAAATTTTCAGTAACTTTTACTCATGTTTTTACCATCAGAATGTAATTGAATGATTCTGTTCGAAAGAATCAGAGAATCGGCAAATTTTTATACAAAATTATTATCGAATTCAGCTCTGATCTTTGGAATTTTATTTCGCCTTGGTTCATGAATTCATGAAGTACATTTTTTAAATCGATTTGAAATTGATTGACTTCGATTTTGTATTCTTTCTATGCGTTATTTAAATCAAAAACTTACGTCCAGCTATCTGTTAATATATGAAGATTGAAATAAGCGTTGACAAAGAATTTGATACTATTCCGATGAGATGAGTATGTTTCATTCTGAGTCCGTTATCAATGATTCTATTAATCACTATCAACTTGCAGTTTAACGTATAAGCAAAGTTTGCAGCGCCTATTCAGAATAATTTTAATCATGTGGCAACTATTTTTCTTACATACATAAAATATTATATCATTAGTGAACTAGAGCTAGAGTGAATTGGTGAAATTCGACACCTAAACATGAGATGAAAAATCCAGCTCAAATTGTACATTGCATGACAACTTGCGAATCCCAATCTACATTGATTTGCCATGAATTTATAAAATACAATGAGTTTAATTGAAACGCGGACAAAATTTAGACAGCGCCCATTTATTTGAGCCAAATATTTTGTCCGGCCCCCGAGGCGATGTTTCCTTGCAATTTCTACTTTAAATTTCTGCTTATAGGCCTTTCGGTTGAAAAGATATACACGGTTAGCGAGCGGGGAAATTTAAAGCTTCTCAATTATTACAAATAACGGGCTTTGAATCATCTAAAATAAATACGTACGGTACTACCTCCCGCTAATAGGTTATGAAGGAAGTAATGACAACGTAGCACTTATTAGGTTGTCGATTGTAGAAACAATCCAAATAACAGACCTGCATCGATGTTTGGCAGTCGAACGTTCCTTGAGTGTCCATAAGAATCACTGCCACCTGAAAAAGAGGTCAAATATGTAATAACGGTTTCATGTCAAGTTTATTTACAAACTAACCCAATTCAATTATCGAAAGCGTTAACCGCACGTTCTGTCTACTATATGATGCTTCACTTTGAAATGATGGCTAGTATTAGCTGCGAGTATGCGACTTAATTTTAGACTAAGCTTTCTTATTTTTTACAACCGCCGAAATTTGCAAGATAATCTACATCGATGACGGTAATGACTTAACCGTACTCGAGTGTTTTCCATTTTAAACTTTGAAGATCGTCCCGTCAAAGCAAGCCTCGAGGCTAGTTTTTTTCAGTTGGTGTTCACCAATAAACTAAAACTTTAATATAACCCCTTGACTCATGTTAGCTTTACAACCAAATTGGCCCAGTTTTCAAGTAATTGTTTTAAGAGGAAATAGCCAAAAAATTGAAGCATTGCACACCAAATTAATGCCTCACTCTACAAAATTTTGATTAAATGTCCATAAATATTCACGTCCATATATCAATATATGAATATTCATGTCCATATATAAATCAATACACCTTGCCTCATGTTTGCTTTAGAGCCATATTGGCCCAGTCTCAATTAGTTTTTTTTTCTAGGAACTAGACAAAAACAATTTTGAAGCATTGAACACCAAATCTACATAATTTTGATTAAATCTACAAGAATACTCATGTCCAAATATCCACATATTATTATTGCTCAGCCCTCCATGACAAATCGTAAATCTTCGAACATTAACTTGTTACTCACTTTTTCTCCGGACGGTTTGGTGAAGACGAAAGGCTTGCTCCAGATGTTGATCCCGGTGGTCTCTCCCTCTATGCCGCCTCGCCATTTGAAGACTGCGTTTGGCAGCGATGGAGTGTCTAACCAGTTTGGCGAGCCCTGGGCATCGGAATCTCGATGTAAAAATAAGCTTGACTAACCTAAAATTTTGTATGGGATTAGCTACCTGTCCAATATACTGACTTTGATCAAATAAACAAATGAACTAGCAGCAATGTTTGTCTTTATTGCTCTGTCTACCTCACAGAATTAGTTGATGAGCAAATACCTCATTTTAATGTGACTATAAGGTTTTACTTAAATTTCACTCGACTCCGGGTTATCCTGTTCCGTTTTTATTGAATAACAAACAAAAAGCCGTATTAAACACTCACTTTATTCACGCAGTACTTCACTAGTTGATTCACAAGGAAGCTCTTGCCCTGCCTGAACGCCCCCGCCACGGCCACCACACAGACGGGTTTGTCGCCCACTTCAGGACTCAGCAGCACGCTTCTGAGGGCGTCTTCGTCCAGCTCGAACTCTCGACTATCATTCTTCTGGACAACGATAGGCACAGGGCGGCCTGACATGATTATCCCCTTATGGCTGAAAATAACGAAAAGTATCTCACTAACGAAATTGCTGCTCACCGATAATGAAGATTAGAGAATTAACCTGTTGACCTGATGTTTTCCACTGTTGTCTGGCCTGTAAAGTTGAGGTCAACCATCATCTAAATAGTGGACCCACTAGTGTCCACTATTGAATTCTAGAAATCACCATATATAAGTGTTCTTCAGCGCCCTTATAAGTTAACGTGACATGCATCGGACATGCGAGTGCCGTGGGGCTATCGATTGATCTATTTAAACATAATAGCGCTGTGTAGTAAATTGAATACAGAGCAGAAAATGAAAATAGATTTTATGACTATTTTTGGTTTATGAATTATTTTTGATGCATCAGAGTATAGACTTCAAAATCTGTGGTTCAAGACAAGATCTCAACCGCTGAATTCCAGAGATTGGCTGCAGAAAAATTTAGATAATCAAATAAATTTTTCAAATTAAGAAGTTGTATGGTTTAAGATGTCGAAAACAAAAATGAGTTAGGAATTATTCTTAATAAGAAAGGCAATTATTGCACACATTGTTAACACAGCGGGCAAGTCACCATATTTGATCATCTAAAAAATCTTTCCCAAAAAAGCTCATGAAGTTCCCTGGTTTGTGCTTGAGGCTACATAATCATGCCTCTGCCAATCACCAATCATCCATCATTCCATCCCTAGCATCAGCCCATACCATCATGCCTCTGCCAATCACCAATAATCTATCATACCATCCATGATAGCCCCTACCGATCCAGCCATCAGCCCCTACCGCTGTCTCTTATACACATCTGATGTGTATAAGAGACAGCAGNATTAATATCTATTTAATAAAATAAATGCGATGACATGGAATTAAATAGAATTAAGAGCGTTTCGCCACATCCCACTGCGTGTTTGCAGTTAAATATAATCAATATATTTTGTTGTAGTGACTGTATGTAATGAATTTTCAGCAGCAATTTACTACTTCAATACGCAGAATTTTGACAAATACACGAGTATATATAACTTAAAAGTACTCATAATTTCTTGTACTAGCTTCAGAAAATCAAATTTTTGCGTATTTCCATGCCTGCTGATGAATGGGTTAATATCAGAGAACTTGCAAGTTCTATTGTAGCTCTTCCTGGTTAATTTATTGTTAATGGTTGGGAATGAGCAAAATGAGAATATTTTAAAATATTCGCTAAAGTTTGGTCAAATTCGTGAGACCTAAGCCTTGGATGCCTTAGGAGAAGCTGCATAAAAAATCTACGAACGCAAATTACTTACAACACTAGTAAATCAAAAAAGTGCGTCTAGAACGCCTTGTAAGCCAACACAGTGGTCTAGAAGGCGTCGCATGTATTCAAATGTTGCAGGTCTCGAACACGCAACCCACTGCTCGCATATCCACTATGCTTCACCGCTTGGCCATTCTTGCCAATTTCAACCAGAACCTTTCAAACTTGGCTGCAGTATCGAACCCTCAACTCACTGCTCCAAGTTTAGTACTTTGAACTCGAACCCCTATACAACCCAGCCCTTGAGGGGCATGGGGAGACAGTTTAAGCTCAACTCTACAGCTAATACGTCAACTCCAACACCCGTAACACTAGAATAAAACTATGCACGAGTTGAAGTTGGGGTGGCACTGCTTACGCAAAGCTGGAGTGCCACTGACATGTCAGAGGCGTGTGCCAGCCTCCCCCAGGGCAGGGGAAAGGGGAAGGAGACTGCGCCGGGCAGCAGATACCCTAATAAAATTCAAGGTATGCTTCAGCCTCCGCCCCAGAGTTGCTATGTTTGCGTTAGAGTTATTCTGTCTGGTTGGCCACCTGATCGCAATCAGCGACTAGTCAAAACCTCCTTGCCGACTTTATTGTCGCCTGAGAGTAGGGCAAGAGTTGGCAGAATAAGGACCAGGCGCTTATAGCTGTCTGATTCGGTGACTGGAATATAGACCAAAAAGCGAACATAAAGAAGCTGATTTACGTTCGGTCCGAGTCCTAGGCGGTTCCTAATTACGGGTCGCCACCAAACTCAACAAAGGTTTGATAGGGTATGGTGGACAGACGCCCACTTCCAACGACACCAAACTGCATATGGAGGATGATAGTGCAGCACACTTAATGGTGCTTGGTGGTGCTTAGTGATACTTAGTGGTTACCACTAAGCACCACTAAGTACACCACGTAGTACCACTAAGAACCACTAAGAACCACTAAGCACCCCTAAGCACCACTAAGTACCTCTAAGCACCACTAGTTAGTTAGTTCAGTGGCCGTAGTTGCTACCGCTTCAGGTCGAGCTATCTCGCGCCGTCTAAGCACCACTAAATATACCACTAAGCGCTACTAAGAACCACTAAGCGCTACTAAGTACCACTATATAAGCACCACTAAATATCACTAAGTACCACTAAGCACTTCTAAGTAGTAGTGGTACTTACCAGTTTCATACTAAATAACTGGCTTAGACGACAGCTAGAACTTATTGTTCTAGGTTTAGGGCAACAGACGTCAGGTAGAGCGACAGACGTCAGGCAGAGCGACAGACGTCAGGCAAGGCGACGGACGTCAGGCAGGGCGACAGACGTCAGGCAGGGTGACAGACGTCAGGCAGGGAGCCAGACGTCAGGCAGGGAACCAGACGTAAGGCAGGGAACCATACGTAAGGCAGAGCGACAGACGTCAGGCAGGGCGACAGACGTCAGGCTGGGCGACAGACGTCAGGCAGGGCGACAGACGTCAGTCTGGGCGACAGACGTCAGGCAGGGTGACAGACGTCAGGCAGGGAACCAGACGTCAAGCAGAGCGACAGACTTCTGGCAGGGTGACAGACAGACGTGTGACAGACAGACGTGTGACAGACAGACGTGTGACAGACAGACGCCGGGCTGTTCGCGCTTTAGCAGGATGGAGCCGTGAAACTATAACTGGCCATCTAGCTCTAAAACTGCGCTGTACCAGAGCTAATATAGGGAAACAACCCAACCGCGCGACACGGCAGGGCAACGGCGCTGCGACGAGGGTATATGTCAGGGCAGGGAGTTGAAGTTAGCTAGATGTAGATGCAGGCAGTGAAAACTATTAGTGTGACATTAGTTGTGCGAGTGTGTACTACCGAATGACACAGAAAGTAGTGAAAAAACGTTCCACCGAAATTATCAGTGAGTTAGATTCAAATGATAGGGGTCATTCATTGCTAACTTATTGCCAGTCTGCCAGATGATAAAGTGAAGCTGTTCTTAAACCTAGAGAACACCTAGCATTAGACATTGGAAGTTTGGAACTTTTGCCTCTAGGTCTCTTGAGTTTAGGGCATCTGTAAGACTGTACTCAGTAGCTTGTGGCCGCTATGTATCTCTGTAAATTACACGTGTGAGACAGTAAGACAAAAACTACAGGCATAGAATATACCTACTAGGTGAGCAGCGACTGGATTTTTGGAGCCGTGAGTTAGCCCATTTGCGAACCGTGAAAATGTACTTCCCGCACGTGAGTCCCTTATTGCAGCCGTTAAACTACGTTTGCCAAAAATGTCGTATTTTTTAATAATCTAAATTTAGAGGAACGCGATATTGTTCATGTTGCTCTGCGTTACCAGCAGAGTACTAGAAATACCATTATTTTGGGAAGGTCATTTGCCTATACGACATAATTAACGAAATTAACATAACGAATGTTAAAGTTTAAGTCAAGTTATGGCCAGCAAAGCACCATATTTGGGCATATATATATAATATATATATATATGAGCGTAAAAATATGAATAATAATAGCGAGAGAACCCAGGGAGTGCAAATAATCCCTTAGATGCTGTTAAAAGAAACTGCACCTTCTTGAGGTCAAACAGCAGGACTGGGATAACACTTGCAACATGCAAGTATGATGTCGGGACTTACATGTCAAAATGAGAAAACATCCTAGAACAGTCG